CCCACACCCACACCCACACCCACACCCCCACCCGCACCCACACCCACACCCACACCCACCCCCACACCCCCACCCACGCCCACACCCACACCCACACCCACACCCACACACCCACACCCACACACCCACGCCCACACCCTCCATTATTACTTTTCTTTTGTATTTTTTCTATGCTCAAAAGTAGAGAAGTCTTGGATATACAGTGCGCGCCAATTCATTTTCTCCCTTCTCTTTTTTATCATTGAGCTACTTTTGTTTTTTAATCTCCTAATTATATATTGGAAGAAAGTCTCAAACGTGCTGCATTTTATAATATATTTACTTGGAACAACAAATATAGTTTAGAGTATGAAAAGTGTCACTTTTTAATTAGAATTTATTTCCACATCTATTATTCAGATCAAAGCATCAAGAACTAACAGAGATTTTCACAAAACACTGAGTGGGTAATTCTTTACAGAAAAAAAAAGTAAAAAATAACTTTGATAAAATGTTTTTAATATTTTTACTGATGTGGCACTTTCTTACCGTTGATGCTAATTAAATATGATTTCTGTTAAATAATAGCTTAGATGCTACTCTTCAAATATATATACAATATCTCTCCACTTTTGAATACAACAAATATATAGAAATAAAAATAAAAATGGGATCGTTACGTATGAAATGCCCCTTATGTTGGCATTGTAGTAAATAGGCTGCAGTAATATTTTCGATTCTATACAATGCTATTTGAGAGAAACAATCATAAAACAAGAATCAAAATTAGCTCCTTTGGCAATTCAATATTCTCTGTGAACTTGCACTCTACATATTAAGTGCTTTTTTCTTATTGGAAGACCATGCCAGACGGCAATACCTACCAGAGTTTTTCTTTCTTGCTTCTTCAGCGAAGGTAATCGGTAACAATTTCAATACTTCGAAAAAATCTCAGTAAAATGGTGCTCTATTTATAAAAGTGTTCTTTTCTATAATTGTAGCAAAGCTTAATTAAAAAAAAGAGACTCTGTCATATTCTACATCTTGGCATTCTTTTTACAACAAAAACAAAAAAAAATAAAATATACTAGGTGAGTAAGCACAAAAGAATTCTGCGTTGTGGACTCAAAAAAATTAGAAGAGAAAAAACAAAAAACATCTCTCTTTTTCTGAAGACAGCATATTTTTTAAGCAGATAATGGTAGAAATCATCAAAAGCTTTCGGTAAAAATGAAGTGCCAAATGAGAAGTCATGTTGTTGATGTAAGGTCAGAACTCTGGTTATCTTTCCTTGCATTTATCATAATTTTTCATTTTTTATGTGGATTTACTTTTTTCAGTGCGTCAACTTAAATCAAACGGAAAAACGAAAATATATAAGATGTCGAAAAGTGTTTGATTATCATTCCTCTTTCGTCAAATACTTCAGCTTCTATTCAAATTTTAAAAGTTACATTCTTGCAAGATAGCGCTGTTCGCGCTTCTCTACGATTGTGCAACAATTTTTCGAATGATTCCAATTTGAAGGATTTGAAGCGATTTTTTCTTGGTGTCATGATATACAAGTCAAAATGTTGAAAAGCTCGACAATTTTTGTCGAGTTCTGGAAACCTTTTCCCTCGCGAAAGCTTTTTCAAAATGGCTCTGAACACTTTTTGTGCAAAGCAATCATAGAATAGGCTAAAAAAACATCTCGTTTTTCTATAAAGTAGCTGTTTTTCAAATAGTTGATTGCACAGTATTGTCTCATTCCTATTTTGTCCCTCAAACATGTCTTTTGATACTCCACCGATTGTCAATACTTTTATGTGCAACAGCTGCTTTGCGAAATGACGTACACTTTTCATGTGAGCAATAAAAGAAAGCAAGATTAAAAGAGAAAAGTAAGAACGATATGAGACAAAGTTTATAAAATCGTTCGTCGTAAGATGTTTTGAATTCAAAGATTGAACAAAAGATTGTCCATCTCATATCATTACGTGGTCTGGTAGAATTGATCGAGCTGATAACAAATACCATCTTTGAAATGCGTTTCGATCGATTTATGACAAAGAGATCCTGAAGATACTAATCAAACTTAAAAAATGAACACTGCGCTGCTTCAAAAAAACATAACTTCAAAATGATACCAGTTTCTCATTGGGAGCATCCATCAGAATTATGCCATAATATACAGGAGTATCGGCTCTAGTGGTGAGGTAACATGGGTTTTGTAGAATGTTGTTCGCTCAATTTATTGGTTGAAGCCGCAACTTTTGTAGCTCTTGCAGAACAAAAGTTATTGACATTTTACTAGCACAATAAAATTAGTGAAGCTTTGTCTTCTCCCGGTACTTTTGGTTCATCTTTTGAGACTCACATTGGATCTCATCCCACTCCAAAATAGGTCTGCATGGTTTTAAATGAAAGAATATTAAAAATACTATACAGAGAAGGAAAAAAAGATTTGCTCAAGCAGGGTTTTGAGATAAGAAACTGTGATTATCTTAGTTTTTCTAGAAAACCTTTCAAAGCCAAACTTTATTCATAAGTATTTTTTGTTACATGGCTAGATAAAAGGTTCAATCCTAAACAAAATGAGATACTGCAGACCATTCTAGTATGTACCGTTCAAAATTGTCAGAAAAAATACGAAAAATGCCTATAAATGCTCGGTTAGATACTGAAAAGAAAATTTTCCTGCATGTACATTTTGCGAAGCATCTAACTCAGTCATCACAAGTTGTAAGAATCTGCAAAGCGTCTCATTTTGTTCAGAATTCAATACACTATCTAATCATGTGAAAGAAAGCATTTCTTAATAAAGTTTAACTTTAAAAGGTTTTCTAGTAAACCGAAATAATTAAAGGCCCTTATCTCAAAACCCTGATTGAGTAAATCTTTTTTTTTCTTTCATTTAAAGCCGTCCCCGTTCATTTTGGAGCAGGATGAGGTTCAGTGTGAGCTTCACAAAATGGATCAAAAGTATTGAGAGAAGACAAAACTAGACTATTTTTGCTGAGCTCGTAGAATGTCAATAACATTTGTTTCGCAAGAGCTGCAAAGCTGCGGCTTTTACTAATAAATTCAGCACAGCACGCTCTACAAAATCTATGCTATTCAGCAGATGACACTCATACTTTTGTATATCGTTGTATGTTTCTGATAGATTCACCCATTGTTCTAATTTTCTCAAATTGTCGTAGTTGAATTCAATATAAAAAGTGAGTTTACCTATGTTAGTTCGACTGATTAAGAACATGATCTTCATGTCTGGGGTACTGCACTACATCTTCATAAAAGCATTCTGGTACAATTACGCCGATCATATCCTTGATATCGCTTTGGATGACAAAGTTCAGCATGTATTCATGAACAAAGTTCTGAAAATTGTGTATCTATGAACGATTCGGTTTGAGCAATGGTGGAACAAAGTGTCATAAGCTTTTTCAAATGCTTACGGAAACAATTGAGCCAAAGAAATTTTAATAAAATAGCGGTGACTTTGAAGCATTTCATCATATCCTAAGACGATAATAAACTCAAGTATCCCACTGCTGAACTCGAAACTATATCTGGAATTTCTGATTCTCTAAATATTCAGTTTATCATCGACTTGAATAAATATCATCATTGTTTGTGCCATTTATCACAACAGAAGTGTATTGCGAAGGAACAAAGACGTTTTTTTTCTGGATAAGACAAAAAATGGTATTTTATTAACTGATGCAATTTGATCAGTATTTTGAACTGTTTTTTGGTAGTAAATATCGCGTTTTAATGCCATACTAACCATTATAATCAGGCTGTTGGGCTGATAGTTATTTTTGTGTAAAGTCAGTCAGTTAGATGAAACAAATATTGCTGAAATGTAACATTTATTGAATTTTATAATCATAAGTGTATTAGATTTTATTTTTCTTACATTCGTCAAGAAGGATAATATAATATTTATAATTTAAATAAGCAACGTTTAAAACAAAAGAAAATTTTTAAGAAATTGATTTCATTGAACATTTCAAATAGTGATCGTGATAGCAATGATCAATAATATGATAAACAGTAGCTGAGGACTGGCATCAATACTATATACAATTCGTAGTACTAATATTTCTGATTTCTTTCATACTCTAGTATGCTAATACTAAACTAGAAGAATTTCTCATAAAAATCTTTTTTTTCTCTAGTCATAGTCACGCTTAATAACATATGGATGTAACAAGAAAACAATAAAAAGTATGCACGAAATATTGTTATACAAACCATATATAGTCTCGAACTTAAACATAATTTAAAAGTTTATAATAGATGTGTGCCATCATTTGTCATCTCATTAATTTGAACAGTGCCGTCTGATGCCGCGCTATAAGTTGGAACCGTTGTTATGCGATTAGATTGTTTAATACCAAGACGGTTTAATATTTTAGAATGCCAAATGAATAAGGCAGCAACAGCAGAAACTACAACAACACCACCTAATACGCCAAGAACAATCGCTAAAACGGGTGTATTTTTTGACCCACTGTCACCGGGTGTTGGTGTATTTTGTTCTCCATCATGAGTTGTCATCATTTCGATTGTTGACTCTATAATTTCTGTGACTGTTGCCACTGTAGAAGATGATGTTACGACAGTATCAATCCTTGTTATCGTTGTTGTCTTTGCTATTGTTGTTGTCGTCGTTGTCGTTTCTATTGTTGTTGTCGTTGTTGTCGTTTCTATTGTTGTTGATGGTGTACATATTGAATGTACATTATTTATAGTTGCTCCTGTTATTGTTACTTTGAGATCTTCTGTACTGGTCACCATAGTTGTTTCTGTTATCACTTCTTCAAAAAGACATTCTTCGACTGGATATGTACCAGAGCCTACAATATATATAATATGAAATAAACAATCAAGATAGTCTTACAAGTTTGCTTACATGATCTAGACGAGATAACAATGTGATCAATCGAGATCAAACCCATTCCATCAGCTATTCCTTTTCTTACTTCAAACACAATCTAGCATAGAAACAAATTCATGCATATTCATTTATTTATATCTAATTTATACTATATATTTTCCATCTCTCTCTAATTTCAATGGTGCTTCAGCTGTTATCCATCGATTCGGTACAGTGGATCCATTTTTATGCCATATACATGATTGATTACCACTCCAATAATCTTCAACATAAACATCTAACCAATCATTATCACTACCTGCTATATTATATTGAAATTGAACGCATCCATCTTCGGATAATGCATCAAGTATTGGAGAATCAAATTGTGAACGTTCACCTACTTGATCAAATTCACCACTTCGA